GGGTTGCTGTAGGTGATCTGGAAGTCTGGTTTTGAGACTTATTTATGTGTTTTCTCATTTTGACCGGGCCAGGGGGCTGTTAGCACCTGCAAGGATTACCTCCTTTGAGCTGGGTGAGGTGGGGCAGGGGCCATGAGCAGCGGTAGGGATGGTGACCCAAAAGCCCTTTCCTGTGGGCTGGGAGCAATGGGTTGGCAGCTCAGAAGCCCCTCCCTCTGGGCCGGGAGTGGTGGGAGGGAGAAGGATGGTGGCCTGGAAGCCCCTTCCTCTGAACCAGGAGCAGTGGGACGACGGCTCAGAAGCCTCTACCTCTGGGCCAGGAACTGCAGGACTCAGTACCTTGTTCTGGTGGTCTGGTGTCCTCTGCGTCTTTGTAGTGTGGAACCAGGTGGCTGCCTGTCTGCAGTGGGGTGATATGATGTCTTCCGCAAGACTCAGAACCTCGGTAGGGTGTGCACAGACCTGCCTGTCTGCAGCGGACTGATTTGGCATGTTCTTAGGTGGCACCATCTTAAGAACTGTTCTAAAAAAGAACTCATGGATGCAGACTTGACTAACTCAGAGAAATAGCTAAAGGACAAAAGTCTCCAGCAAATGGGTGTAACATCTTAAGGTAATATCAGTTTTAAATTATTTTCAGTAATATTTGTGAAGTCCTGGGTACAAGTTCCCAGATTGATTCTTTAATGTAAATATGCCAACAGATTTAACAAATTTATTTTCTACCATCATTAAAATAGTCTGCAAAACTATTCTTAGTTGATTGATTAAAACAAAATAAAAACAGACAGAAGGGTCTTTACTCACTGTGTGCACATGTCCCCATCAGTCCGAGTCTAAACCGGAAAGAAATGCATGAGAATTACTCTTATCTACTGTCGATCCAGCTCAGGGGACAGGGATGGAAAGTCTGTTTTCCATACCAACTACGGGTTCAGAGTCTCAACTGGGTGAGTATGCAGTCATCAATAAAACTTAATGTCATGCTCTGCTACGCATGTGCTCTTTCTATTAATGGATTCTATTCCTTAAAGTTAAATAATATGGATGGTTCATATTTCAGATGTTTCAGAACTTTCATAATTTTTCACTTTTAATGGATAGCCCTTCATTGAGATCTAGACATCTGTGAAACAGTACTTTCATGATTACTCAAAAGTGGCACTAAAAAAAAATCACTGTAACTTACACATGAATAAGTAGGATTTGTTACATTTCTTTTGAAAGAACCCAGATTTATTCACACCTAGATGTGAGCTCAGCATCACAAGTTTTTGCAGACTTGTGAACTTTTTGTGCCTATGGGTGAATGAAAGTTGATTTTGGCTAGAAAGGGTACAATCCATAATAAGATAAAATGAAATCCTGTGACTCCACGGTTGAAGAATTTTGTCTCACTTATACATCCATATGTAGCAAGATTGTGCCTATTTTATAGATTTTAGAAGGTTTTTTTCCCTTTTTTTTATACTATTGAATATATTCTGTATACTCTGAACTTAAGTACCTTGTGAACATTGAAAATTTTGAGTATTTGGTTATTGTATTGACTTCTAGTAATGAAGCCTATTGTTCTTTCACTAATCAGTGCACAAGCGTGATCAAAAACCTTTAATGATTTGTGATTCTAAGCCTGGATTCCTGGATTAAACTTCAAAATGCATCTATACCACCAGTAAATGATACAGTGCCTATCTCATAACACTGTTGTTAGTTGTAAATGGGATAAATGTGGACATGTAGGTGTGTGTGTTGCAGTGCATACGTGTACACACATGCATGCCTGCTTGTGTGTGTGCATGAGCATACATAGATTTCTACCATTAACTCATTATGTTGAATCAAGAAATACTGATGGTCCTTGTGACAAACATTGTGTAAATATTGGATCCACAGATATGAATAATAACAGATTTTGTTCAGACACTACTTAGCTAGTAAGAAAGTTAAATATATTAACCATTAAGCACTGTGATCAACACAATAAGGGAAGGATAGATTCAATGTAGTAGAACCAGGATGGAGGGTTAAAATACTACGTCTTAGTCAAAGAAGAGCCTATTTTCACATTGTACACATAATCTGCAGCAGAAAAGTGGAAGTTTGTTTGACATCCAGTGTTATAGCACTTGTTTTCAAGAAAGAAAAATCTGCACTCATGAGGATATTTCCTGGACAGTAAGGACATAGATGTTCAATTCTTGAAAGCATATTAGGAGTATGTATGTACATGTGATATGCACAGACAAATGTGTATGTTGTGTTGGCTTCCTATTACTGCTCTAGCAAAATAACATAGGTTGTCTTAAAACACCTAACATTTATTTTCTTGTAATTCTGTAGATAAGAAGTTGGAAATAAGTTCCCATGAGCTAAAATCTATGTATGTATTATCAAGATTGCATTCCTTTCTGGAGGTTTTAGGAGGGTACATTTTCTTTTACAGATTCTTCAGGTTTTTTGCAGTACTTAGTTTATATTTTTCTTTCTTCTTAAAAGTCAGCAATGGGTGGTCAAAACTTTCTTAGCTGATATCACTTTAACATCAACTCTTCTGTCCCCCACACCCCTCATCTTTCCACTAAAAACCCCATTGCTTTTCTGGCCCAACTGAGTAATCTAAAAGAATCTCTTGCTTTAAGATAAGCTCTTTAGCATCCTCATTTCTTCTGCAACATTAATCCCCTCACTGGTATGTAATATATTATTTCACAGATCTAATATATTTCACAGATTAGGAAATTGACATCAAGAGAAAAAGAGAACTTATTCTGCAACAAAGTATATATTTTTTCTACTTAAAGATTAGATATTAGAGTGAAATTGTAGAAAAAAGAACAATAAACTGAAGGTACTATGCATTGAACACAAGAGAACTTACAATGTAAATTTCTTGCTAAGAAACTACCTCATTGCATATACTCTCTGCCATGTTGATACAGATATTATGAAGATAAAAAAATGGAAGCTATAATGAAATGTATAAAAAGGATGGAAAGCACACTCAAAAGACAGGCTTGTAAATGATGAGAAAGGCCACACTAAGAAGGGTTTCCACTGGGTTTAATGCTTTTTTATCACCATCTTAAAATTACTAATTTTCAACCAAGGCTTTGTATTTTCACTTTGTACTTGGCACCATAAATTGTATTGTCTGGTCTTGTTTATCATAACAAAACAAGGCCTTATGTGCAATTATTACCAACATTTTATAGAAAAGTAACTGAATCATGGAAGTGTTAATTGGTCAAAGTTAAAGTGATGGTGCATAGCGGGGACAAGATTTGAACCCAAGGAGAGTTGAATATTGAACCAGTCCACACCCCTACTTCCGTGAAGACAGGGATGATGTCTTCTTATATATGTCTCTTTCCCAAGTATGACACTGTTTGATATATGGTTAAATTTTACTGTTCATTGACCTGAATCATGTTTCAGTTATTTGGTCTTTGGTAAAAATTCCCATTATATTTCTAAAATGTTAGAGCTAAAAGTTTAAAAAATTTTGAATCTCTTCCAAGAAATTTGTTCAAACAGACCAAAATCAGCTTTTATTCCCTTTGTGTAATCTTAAGTCTAAGGATATTCTCTTGTTCAAGGTAGATTATTTATTATTTATTAGTTACATTTATACAGTGATATTTTCTGGAGAGATCTGATAAAACTACACAAAGCAATATTTCTTCCTGTCCTAATTCACTCATACGATATGTGAACTTTAAAAATATTTTAAACAAATATAACAATAAGATTACTTTAAAAATAATTAAGAACAGGAAAGCCATATATAATTTTTAAAAGGTGATGGGAGATGCAGTTTAGAAAGTTTGGTAGCTTTTACACTTCTCATCAATTTTTATGCATCTTCCAGGCTCTGATATATACCACATGCTAGTGCTATGCTAATAAAATACTAATAATTTTATTGGTAGTAATAAAAATGTCTTTCTCAGGGGTACAGAATACATTGGGCTGAGAGATACAATCATACAAGGGTCTGTATCATCAGAGAGTTTATTCCAAAGGCTGGAAGGGAGGGCAAGAACCCAAGGCCAGGACTTGAACATTTTAATGTTGATTTTACCAATTGATCATTGTGTAAGTTGGGGCAGCTCACAGCAATTCTCTGTATCATCTCACTTATCTATAAAGGGGCTAAAATATCTATTCGATCTACTTCACAAGATGATGTAGGTACTGAATCCATGAATATAAATACATCTTGAATTTTTTACAAGAAGGAAGACAGTATTAACTTAAGGTGTTTTTCATTCGCTAAATACAGTTCCAAATGAGAAATAGGCAATAAGATTGCAAACATAAAATAGCAGCCTAATTTAGCATTAAGCATGGCTACCTTATATGAATTCCAGTGTTAGTACCTTATGTAATCCATTTCTGGTGACTCAGATAGTTATTGGGTCAAAGCAAAAAGAATGCAGATGTTAGCAGTGCTAATTTACTTTAATTCTTTTTTTTTTGGTGTCAGGGATTGAACTTGGGTCCTTGCGCTTGTGCAGTAGGCGGTGAAACCACTGAGCTAAATCCCTGGCCCCTACTTTAATTCTTAATTCTGTGTTATATAATCCATATTCAGTTGACTCAGATCATGAAGACATTAGCAGCACTGACTTATTTGGTTCATTTCATCACTTTATTGAGCATTATTATTTAATAAGTTATTGCAAGTAATGGAGAGATAAATATAATGTATCTTATGCCTTAAAGAGAGCAGTTATGAGTGATAATAGGATAAAATGTGTGGATAGAAGACCAGATGTATTAAGTGCTATAAAAGAATAACTTCAGCTATTCACAAGAGAAAGTGAATGAATCAAATGGAAAACTAACAGTTTGAATTTTATCTTTGGTAACAAAAAATCCAGTTTGAAATGAAATAACATGCAAGGAGCAGTGTAGGATGCTATTATCAATTTACTAAAATCTCTTAAATTGCTTTATAAGGAATAAATGATGCTGCTCAGGCAATTTTCATGTTGCTAATTTTTTATAGCTGTACTTACTGTGGCTTATAAAAATTTAAATTTATCTCGTGAAACTTTTATTGTGAAGAGTAAATAGTTTTGAAAACATGATCAGTAGATCTAGATGTAAAATAATGTTATGATAAAAATTTGCACCCCGGAGGTTATGATAATGGAAAAAAAAGACTGTCTGGCTCTAGCTGGTTCAGATCATTTCAAGACAGCACTACAATATCTGCAGGTTTCAAACACAGGAGATAAAAATCCCCCGATGAATCCACCACTTACATTGTTGTGACCTTGAAAACATACCCCAATAACTTCGCTGTTTAACTTTAGCTGAGCTAAGTTTGTTTTAGCTGACTCATTTGAAGCCCTACTGACCATCACAGTAGGGCATTCCTGGCTCCTCCTTCAAACAGACATAAAACATATAACAGTGAGAAACCAGCTTTTGGTTCTCAGTGTTTTCAAAAAGAAAGTAGCAAAAACAGATACATAATATCTACAGTGATTGGGGATATAAAAAACTGCATCTTATATTTTTTAAATATGTTGAATCAGCAATTTTATGGTAAATAGCCTAACGAGGCTTTAATATTTCAGGAGCAAAGATGTCCTAAAGCACTAGATTAAACCTGTGCAGAAATTAATAAAATTACTCAGGGCCAAGGCCTTGTTCATGTCTGCCACCTGCAGAGTGTGGTAATGCCCTTTTAATGTTTTATCAAGGGCCCTGCATAGACTGTCTGACTTAACATTGGACACTACTAAGAGGAGACAAGCATGCAGGGAGAGAATGATTAATGCAAGCTCTTCTACAGCCAGAGGCTTAGAGAATTCTTTTCTGCAGCATTCCAGATTTAATTGCCTACCATTTTATCTAGGAACAAGTTATGTCATTTTAAGAAAATATGGCAAATGGTGACACTCAAGAGATTGGTGTCACCTAAGGAGGGAAATAAAAAGTAAAATGGAAAATGGAGGAGAAACAAGAATACAGGTGAGTATGCAGAGTCTTAGAGGCATGATGGTGTCTGATTTACCTGTGTGTCAGCTTCACAAATTTTCAAATCGATAATCTCAAAGGTTTTACACAATTTCTCCTTTATATCCTGACAAAGTTATATGAATTTTCTAACAAGGTAATGCTTTATAAGTTGATGTGTTGCCAGATGAAAATTTTTATTTTCTCCAATTTGTATAAATTAATTCTCATTCCATTATGAATATCTGTAAATGAGATGCTCACACAAAGGCACTAAATTAAGTACATACTTTAAGGACTGATTAGAGAGATATATAACATTATTGTGTTTGAATCCATTACTGTCTTATAAGAGAACCATTCTGATCCAATTTGGCATTAGAAGTACTCGAGAGCACCTTGGGTTCCAAAATACTGTAGCCAAATATCCTCTTCATCCTGCTGAGGCTGGGGGCTAGAAGTAATAATCAACTTCTGTGTACAGAATGCCTGGTGCTCCATATGGCCTATTTTCCATTGGCAAGTTGGCCCTGAAATCATAGGGGATCCTGTTACATATGCATAAGTATTATAAATTAATGTTCTTATCTGCTTTGAGTACCCTAGTTAATGAATGACAGGCAAAATGAAAAGAAAAACAAAAATATGTTTTTAAAGAAACTGTAGGCATGTGTTTCCCTACAAGCACCAAAATTCAGAGTTTGAAGGAAACCTTAAAAAAAGACTCCACCCTCTCCTTTTTTGACTCATCAGTTTGATCATTCTTTCCTGGAATTAACTCTTAGGAGATCTATGTAAATTAGGGATTTTTCTCATACCTTAGCATTCAGAAGTGATTGTAATCATTCCCGGAAAGCCTTCCCCCCCTCCTTAAACAAAAAGTCACCATTTATCAAACACATTTTAAAAATATTCTATTCTGTCCTGTTTTATGTAGAAACAGAAAATACATCAAGGCAAATAAAAGTGGTGGATCAGCATCTTCATGTAGAAAACAAATGCTCATTTAACAAACACGCCCACCATGTCTGGACTGCCCAAGAGCACATTTTCTTTGTTTCTGTCTCTTTTCTTTTTCTTTAGGAAAGATTCAAATTTGTTTCCTCTATGTGTTCCCTGGAGCCAGAGAGAGCTGTGGATCTTGTTTTCTATTATAGAACAGTGATGTAAGGGACAAATAATTTAACCAGAAATCACTAAATAAACAAAGTCTAGCATCTATGACCTCACCTTCAAATCAGTGACTAAACATTCTTACAAATCATTGTCCACACATTAAAACATCTGATAGTAATTTATACACTACTGGTGAGCAAGGCTTCTCCTTCCCTGCATTCATTTTCCTTCCTTATTTTCGGGGCCTCTCTTCCTCTTTTCATTTTTTTCTCCTTCCTTTCCTATAAAATCATATAGTATATTACATACAGAATCCTTTGTATAACTCTATATAATTACTATACATAGCAATCAATAGGTATTATACAGTATCTGAGGCTACTATGTACAAAAGATCAAACAACAATTACTATTTTGTAACTCAATTATCACTATTTGTTAATGGAGATAATGTAGCATAAATAAATAAGAATGGAACTTATAGTCAAGCATGTCCTCAAAAGCCTCAAACTTCTTGGCCTTCATTTCTTCCTATGTAAAATGGTGTTGTCTAGATAAAGTCTGAAAATCTATTGTTTGTAAACCACAAAATATGCTGTGCACCTTGAGCAATATCTGATTTTATGGAAAAACTGAATACGGTTTCACACTATGCAAGTTGAATGATAATACTAGTCTCCTTAGACCACATTGTGGTGGTAGGGGGTCAGAATAATTTTTATTTTTGCCATAGAAACTGTGATGAGGAAATGTCACACTTACTCAAGGTCACCTAGTAAGTCATTTTTTGTCATTAGGATTTAAGAGTTTCGGCTTCACTGTCTGATTTCAGTCCATTAGGCCACAAAGTCATCAAAACAAACCAGAAAAGAGCACCATCAAAAGCAAAAGTAATAAAATCAAAGGATCCTGGAGCAGTATTGTACTAAAAGCCATCTGCTATCTTAGTCCACATTCTCAACCCTCTTGAAATGCTATTTGTGAAGCTTTAAAAGGCTTGACTGGAATCCTTCATGTCTTTTTAGAGATACAGTACATCCATTGCTGACTCATGAATGCTGAATTAAGAATTGTAATATAGATTTTTGAATATACATCAGAGAAATGCCAATATTTTTTGCATTGTCGAGGCCAAAGTCTTTTGCTGTTGAGAAAGAAGCATTATGATTAGCTAAGCAGATGACTGTTGATTGCTATAGTAGTAATGGTGATGAGAGAGAGGAGGGAGAGAATAAATATCTAAAGGAGATAGTTGAAGAAAAGGATGTGCTACCTTTACATGATAATAAATACAGGCATGCATATTTTTTCAGTTCCTTACCAGCCTACTAGGATTTCTGTGCCATGATCAGGTGGGGGTGGGTAAGGAAGCAGACAGGAAACTGCTGCCTTAGCATTTCCTCTTGACTTTGGTGCCTTCTCTCCCTGCCTTACTCTATTGGATGTCCTTATTCTTCCCACTTCTTTTCTCATTTGGGCTTGGCAGGAGAAGTTTAGCTCAGTGCCAGTGTGGTAACCTTAAACTCTCTTACTTAAGTGGCTGATCTCATCTCTTCCTTTTTGTGGTTTGTGGGGTTTTTTTTTCCCTCTTTGGCTTAATATTTCCCCCTACTACCTTGTAGTTTGCATCTGTTATTGTATTTTCGTTATTGTGTCATCCTTTAAAAATAAAGCAATAAATATTTAAAACATAAAGCATTTTCATGCCAGTTGTGGGAACAGATATTTTTATATGAGCAAAAACTAGGGGGAAAATATTTTTCCCCAGCTTTATAAAGGTCTAGCCAAGCAGAGGACAGATTCTCTAGTCACAGGATTCTATTTGTCCTTTTTCTGAAGAGAAAAGCAAAAAAAAATTTTTGCAGATATTTTAAGAGATCGCAAAACAGGGAAGCAAACCAAAGTCATCACAAAAGCCTCCCAGTGTAGAACCAGCCATCTGCATATAGTTCACAGAACTCTTCTGTTTATTTATGAGTCGTAGAATGTGTAAAGCCAACTTCTAGCTGTAAAAGGACATACAGTTGCTCTCCTATAATTTCTTTAGCCCTTTTTTCCTGCAAAATTAGGAGTTTGCTTTCTCATATACAGGGAAACACTGCCATGCATAAGGACCTAGTTTTTGGGAATTCAAATCCTTTTGCTTAAATACTTGAAGTGACAAATAAAAATATATACTTAAAACATCAGAATAAAGGATTTGAACAAACTTATCTGGATAGATATACATTGAAGTATAACACCTGCCAAGAATACTTTAGAGTAGTTTTAATGTACTCTGTGAAAGAAACAGAATTAAATTAAAGACAGAAACATTAATTTTCTAGTGTAATTTGGTTCTTTTCAAGATAATAATCTTAAATTATGACAAGCACAAAAGAAGATAATGAAAGAAGCCATGTATTTTACCTTAAGACTTCACAATTTGCTTCCTGGTAAGATATTTTTTTTCCAGGGTTTTTATAGGGAAAATGGTTTCTCAAATTTCATCTGGATATAATGAGTTCAAGGAGCTAAATTGTGTAGGCATTAAAAAAATTAAGTGTGTGTGCCAGTCTTGCTCTGTAGCTCTGGGCTCTATCTTTCTAGTGAAAAAGAACATTATGTTTTGCAGGCCAGCAACTTCCTTGATATCATGTTTTAGTTTAATCTACCCAAAGCATTACCCTCCAGACATTCTAAGAAAGTTATTTTTCTGATGCAAAGTGTTTTTATGATCTCTTTGAAATATTTTCAGTCTTAAGCATTAAGCACAAATAGATGGAAATAGGTGGTAGCAGTTTCAGTGTTTGACTTCCAAATGTGGGTTTTGAATTACCCCTTCTGATATGTGACAACATAAAATACTCCATATACACAGGAATATAAGGATATAAACAAGAGCCATGCTGGGCCAGCTCTGTTTTATCTAACCCCAAATTCTCTTTTTCTCCTCATAATATCCAGTGCCACATGACTACTGTCTGGGTATGCATATGTGAATACAAAGGGGATGGTCCCACCCATCAACATTGTGAGGCAAGTTTAGTATCCTCGCAGTGTTCTATTCCTAGACAGAAAATATTCCTATCTACATATTTAATACCTATACCTCTGGTTGTGATGTCAGAAGGTTAACATTGCATTTCCTTTAGGAATACAGAGTCTGAGAACAGAGTTTCATAAAATGTTGGAGGTAAAAAGGCAAAGACCATTGGCCACAAGATTTGGGTGTAAGAATGAAGAGAGAACTTGGTGTGGAAAATACTTGATGATGATGAAAAAATAATAATCTGCTTCAGCTTTTTCCTCTGCTTTTGGTACAATCTCAGATGTCTAAGGTATATTAACAAGAGGTACAAACCGATTGGAAATTATCTCTTTATTACTTGTAATATTTTAAATGTGCTAAAAATATCTCACCCTTAAGGAGCACAAAAATGTACTGAACACACAGAAACACATAATTAGCAGATAAATTTTAAGATACCCAGTTGTTACTTGCTCTGGGGAGCATAATTCCTTTATATGCATTATTTTGGTATCGTATTCCTCTCTTTTGAAACACTTTCCACACTTGAAATTGGCAGTTTCTTTGCAGAATTTGATTAGTGTCTGGCTTCTATGCCGGATTATACCGTCATATAATGGGAAAGACTATGAATATTTATATTCATCATTGTATCCCAAGCACATATACACATCTCAAGAAACATTTTCTTTGATAAGTGAGTGCATGAATGGATGGATGAATGAATAATGCAAGTTACATGGTTTCTGAGTTGGCAACTCATAATACAGAGATAAAGCAGGAAGATGCACAAGTGGGCAGGGCATCTGGTGAAAGATCTGGATCACCATAGGTATGAGGTTCTGGAGGAGGCAAGAAAGAATTTTAGCAAGATGTGACATAATAAGCTTCATGATTTAGCAGACCCTGTGAAATCTTATGGAGCAATGATGGCAGCAGGGAACACATTGGATAGAATACCTGTGCTAATTTTCATTGCACTCTGTTTTATTTTTATATTGGTAGTTACTGCCATCAGATGTTTGTCTATTTATACACTTACTTTTGCCAGATTTTGTTTATTTCATGGGAAAGGGGAAGATGTTTGTCTTGTTTGATGCTGTACCCTCAGCAATCACAACTACTGGTCTATAATAGGAGGCCTCATTTATTTGATAAATAAATATGATTTGTACGCAGTTACGGAATAGTCATAAGTATCAGTTGAGCTACATATTATATTTTTACTAATTTTTTCCTTGACAGTCACCTTTTTAGTCTATATTTCATCTTTTGTATATGAAACTTTAAGTCAAATAGGCATAATTCCTTCAGCAATTATTTGCAAATTCTGCCACAATTTCTACTTTTTGTCTTATCTTGTGATAATACATGGTATTGGACATGAGGTAAACAAACCAAACTTATCCTAGATAATTGTCACACATAATAAAGAACAAACCTGTCATAGCTGCCTACATTTTGTTCTTTAGAGATTTGTAGTACATTTGGACAGTGATTGCAATTTATCTTTTCATCAAGCTTTGTATGGTCTCTTCTTTCCAGTACAAGAATCTGTCTAAATAAGTTTACATGGACTGAACTTTCTTTTAGTGACAGAAAGTACTTCACTGTTTCTAGGCATTTAAAATTTTTTCAGAACCTTAGGAAGACATCTACAGTGATGACCTTCCAGTAATCTTAGTGGTCAAAGAAGTCGTAGTGTCCAAGAACATGTAAATGATTTTGACAGCCAAGTTCTATTTCCTATTACAAATTACTTGCACTGTATGTTTTTCTTATCTTCAGTGTCCAGGAATTGTCTTAACTGGAAAGTCAAGAACATTAGTTTATTTCTATATGTGGTTTTCTTTGAGGATCTTGCTACTTGTGATCAGTTTCCAAGCACTGGATTCTTGTATGTGATTTGTGGACAGCTCAATGAGTTTTTACCACAGAAATGCATAGAATTATTTGTAAATATCTGCTTTTTAACCAATCATCTATGAATCCTGTGGGTTCAAAGTTAATATTGACTTTCATTGACTATCAGTACCTACTTTCTATTTAATACTAAGGCTTTTCTTACTTTATTTGTAGCACAGCTTTTATAATAATTTCTAGCTGAGTATTGAATTAGTATATCTAGAAAGGAGTTATAGAAACATAGTTTTTAATTTCCTTCCTTAAATCAAGTATTCACATAACTTACATTGTTTTCATATGTTTCTATCTATTGCTATATACCCATCTTTGTTTCAAAGAATTTCAAACATATTTGAATAAAATAAACTTATTCTGGGATGGTGGTAGGGGTATTGAAAAGAGTGCACATTTTTACATCTAACAACTAAAGCTCTATCAGTCTATTTACAATTCTCATGGTTAAAATTAGGTAGAACTAGAAACACTGCCACCTCTGTTTGACATTTTGAGGGAGATGGAGGTGTAAAGCATAACAGTTTGACCAGTAAAAGTGCACTTCTATCAACTCCTCTTTCTGCCTGCCTATTTGTCTGTCTATCTGTTATCTCCCACTGGCACCAATACACTTAGCTTCAAGAGAATTTTGTCATTGCTTTATCAGTTGAAGTTCTCCTAAAGAGCTTAAATACATGAAGTGATTTTCTTTGGAGTAGTAATGGTGAATTATGCGTTGCTCTAATTGTGATATTAGTTTATCTGAGTTAAAATGCAATCTACTTAATTTGAGGGTTTTATTACACACTGGTCTCAAAAGGTGAAATGCATTAAAAGCAGATTGGTTCTTTTAACAGGAGGCTAAGCCTTTTCAGATGCTGTGTTTGGTGGAAAAATTGTCTCTTACATTTATTTTGAATGTTAATGTAAGATGTTTATTTTGGCCTGAAAGTGTAACTTAGAAAAGGAAACTTGTAGGAAACTTGATTAGTATTTGTTTATATGCTGCAATTTGTGGATAGAAATTTTATTTCTTTTCTTTTTTCTTTTTTTTTTTTTTTTTTGGTACCAGGCATCGAACTCGGGTCCTTGTTCTTGTGCAGTAGGTGGCAAAACCACTGAGCTAAATCCCCGGCCCAAAATTTTATTTCTTTTGATAAAACTAATCAGTCACATGATACATTTACATGGTGACTTCATTATGGAATTAAGCCACTTACACTTGCAATGGGCTTGAACCTTAAAAATGCAGTTAGTGTAAAGAGACAATGGAACAGGGTGATTTACCATCTACACTTACTTGAATACTGTGAAACTAGAAACTGACTCAATGCTATATAAAAAATTGCTTAAGAAATATATTTTTAAAATTTAATTTTCATTTGGCCTTAATTCTTAAGCAATTGCTCAATTAACAGATACATTATATCAATTCATTAAAATTTTACTGAAGTACTGATTTCTATAAGATCTGAATATTTCTATAGCAGTTTTCTACCTTAGAAGCATTGATATTTGGGCTCAGATAATTAAGACTTTTGTGAGTGGTTTTCTTTTGTAGTATAGCAGATTGAGAAGCATCCGTCA